AGCGGAGGGAGAGATGCTGGCCGCCGACACAGGAATGGGGCCCGTGGTGGTTTCTTACCCCGCCATTCCCTCCCTCACGTGTTCCCCTCCAAAATATCGCCACTCGTGGCACGTCTTCGTACGTGGCAACTGGAGGAACTCCACTCTCTGGCGTGGCGTCTCCGCAGGAGCCCAAGCAGCGGAGCGGCAGCCCTGGCCGTCCTGCCGGGGCTGAGGAGACCCAACGTGCTGGGAGAGCCTGCGTCCCCAACGCGGTGCTGCGCCCCCGCCGCAGCAGGACTGCCGCCCTGCAGCCTCACCGCTCCTCGCAAGAGTACTCGGGATTAAAAACAGAATTAGGAGTTGTTCCCTCAGCAGCCAGTGTGCTAAATTGCGAATGTTTTAAAGATGAAAGGGGATAATTGATAGCAGTTGTGGTAGGTGTCACAGGAACATGGTATAGAATGGAGATTCAGTTTATTTTCTGGCCTGTCATGAATGCGCTGTTCTCGTCTGTACTTGAACAGCTTTTCACACTGTGTGGTAAAAGCAATCCGCCAACTGAAATAATGTAAATATTCCAAACTTAAAGCCTGATCATACTGGCAATAAAATCCACTTGAAAAAGAAGATTTATTGTATCTGTGAAAAGTAGATGAGGTTGTGGATAACTGGCTTCAGCAGAGAAGGAATTAACAATTACTGTAAATGTTTGTGCAATTTACATGAAATTTCAGGCTAAGGTTGCTGTCCAGCACAAGGGCTTTCGCCTCAATGGCTTTTACCTCAAGGGCTTTCGTTATCAACAGCCTAATGACTTAAAGCTACTGTGTTTTCTTAGCTTGTGCAGGATCAAGGGGTCAGACAGCGTATCTTGTGCTCTAGGGGGCATAAACAATTGGTGTGTCAGGGAATACCCTTCTCTGGGTAGCTGAAGTTAGCTCAGTTGAAAAGTATGCTGAAGATGTGGTGAGAGAGTTGAATGATGTGATGTGGAGGAATACTGGAGGTTTATTTGTTAAAGTAGGCTATAGAGAATTCCCAGATCACCACTACAGGCAATTTGCCCCTGAGGTATGCTGTAGAAAATTCCTAGCATAAACAGTATCTGGCATGATGAGCAATCTGGGCATAATTAGTAAAAGGGAAGCATGGCAATATCAAAAATCTATCAGTCAGCACTGAGAGCCTTTTTTCCCCCCCCCCCCCCCCCAATTCTGTTGATGATGCTTAAGATGAGGCTTGCTGGAGCTTTGAAAGTCAGGATTAAGTATTTAAATTTTTATTTTATTTCAGGTGAAAATTAACACAGGCGTCCAAAAAAAAAGCATTGGAAGAGTGTGCATCTACACAGTAAAAGTAAGTAGGTTGGTCAAGGGTTGCACACCACGTCAGCTACTACACGTTGTGTGGCTTCTGTGGCTTTCAGGATACAAAGTGAAAATGAAGAAAGCCCATTTAACAGAGATTAATTGAAAAGCCAGCCTAGATTTTATTTTTTCCCAGCCTTTTGTACCTTATTAAAACAGATTTACTACAGCAACGTGTGGATATAACAGATGTTTATTTGAATGCATATTCATTCGTTTGACATCAGGTCTCAAAGGATGACACTTTCTTCTTACGAGGTTGTATTTTCCTTGGGTATGTTTGTTATGTTGTCAGCCATAGAAAAAGTACCACACTGAGAGCTACGGTACACTTTGAAGGAGAGGGAGAAATGCCGATTTTAATAGCTATTGTTACAGAGCTACATATCACAGTCTCTCTGGCTTTTCATATCCCTTGTGATTTGACATCGATGTAATTTTAACTGATGTACCCATCATGAATGCTTTTTCTCTGCCAGTTTATTGGGTACTTGAACTGCGAAAAGTGCAGCTGGTATTGTGAAGCACAGAGCCTTCCTAAGGACCGTTCAGAATTGTCTGAACAGTCCTCGGCACTTGGGAGCAGGTGAGGCCTGCATTTTTTTCCCCAATCAGTTGCCTTCGTTGTTTGTGTTTTGTTGGGTTGTTTGTTTTGTTTTTTTTTTTTTTTTCACAAGCCCTACTCCCAAAGGTGGTTGATGTTTTTTCGGAAGCCCAGTGTCTTTTTGGGTATGTCTCCATCCCTGTTCTGTCAGAGCACAGGTATGAAGTTACTGTCAGCATGCAGAGGTTTAACAGCTGCTTTGGGCTGCACAGACATCTGAAAATATTTTTCTAGGTTTAGGAATTCACAGTTCAGTCTCCTCCATCTGACATGAAATTCTGTGATAGCAAACAACTCCGTGCCTGGCACCAGAGCTAGGGTGAAAGGCATTTTCTGCTTCTCACAAAAAACTATGAGGGATGGAAAAATCATCGCTTGATCTCCTTGCCCCTACCATTTTAAGGGTGTACAGATGGTAAAATAAGGCCAGCATACATTTTTCATGATTAAGAGCAGCTCAATTGAAAATACTACTTAATGTTTACAGTCGTATACTCCATCTTCTTTATCACAAAATCATTGTTTCCTGACAGTAAATATATCTCCACCTAGCAATGCATCTTTCTGTTGTATGTGTGTTCCCATACCAGGCTGTGTTGTTAAAGCACCTGTTGGAGCGCTACTACAATGCCACAGCTAGATAGGCACAAACTGCAGAACCAGGAAATGAACAAAATATTTTTTTTAAAAGTAGACGGGGTAAAATTAAGGTTGTGTTTTTATTAGTAATTAGTGTCATAGTAGCAACTAGTGCTCCTTGTAAGGTAGATCCTGTACAACTATCCAGCATGTCTTTTCCCAAGATAATTAACAATTTTAACAGAGAGCGCTAGGAAAGTGGATTAGGCAAAAACCTTGGGCCTGGAAGAGGTGGAGTGACTTACAGAAGCG